TCGTCCGCATGATACCCGATACTCCTTCGCTCCACCCAACTTGCTCGTTTGGACGAAGAGAACGTGTCAACGTCATCAACCCGATGCTCACCCAACTGAAACTATTACGGTGATTTCAAAGTATCGCATCTTTTGACAAGAACATAATCGTCGTCTTCGGGACAACTTGGAAGACCAGTTTTAGTGAAAGTTGTAGGCTTTTTGCATTTCATATATTTGTCTTTTTCACTTTCGTTGTAAAAGTTCATACTAATCAGCATGTCGTATTCCTCATCCTTCAACGACTCTAACCGGAACAGCTCATTATCGCGAACTTCGACTCGGTTTGACATGGGCATGAATTTGACCATTTTCCACTCATTTGCTTCCAAAACAGTGAAGGGTATTTGGAGACTTTTGTTAATTGTGGTATTAAAATAGTCCAAACTGAGGTCCAAAAAGGCGATCGGGTTATTTCCATTATCGAATTTGACGTTCTTAGTGTCTACAATTTGGACTATCTTATTCTCGAATGAAATTGAAGGAAGAACAATGGAATTGCAGTTGATAAAATACAATTCCTTTAATTTTAGAAGTTGCGTAGCTGCTAAGTTAATATTTGTACTTGTTGTGATTTTAAGTTTACTCAGTAAAGGTAATGAAGTGTTCACTTTAAAGTCGTTGGACGAGGTAATGCCTATAAAAGTCACCTTCCCCAATTTACACTCTTTTCCAAAAGAAATATTTGCAGATAAGGTCACCTCAACTTTCTCTAAACACTGAAAATCATTTTGAAAACAAAGACATTCAGACTGCGCTATCGACAACACCTTCAGCCATAAACACGCTATATTTGGCACTATTGTTGGCTTTAAAACATTTGCATGGTCCGAATTATTCGACCGATTCCAACAGAGTTTTTTAACACAGTCGGGGATGTTCCACGTCACTGTTGCTTGTGCATTATCAAATCTGTGATACACTACATTGGCATATGTTTTATTGATCATCCCATTCATAATATCCCCTTCAACATTGCCATCAATATAGACAACTCCACTGTTGCAAACGATTTTGTCATTCCACTTTTGACACATCCCACTTCGGGCGCAGAGATAGTAATAATTCGAAGTCTTGAAGATATCGAGCAAGTGTTCGTCTTTTGGTTGCTCATACATGCAAATGCAGATGTTAACACAATCATTTTTCGGAACGTTTGCCTCAATTGTCTCAATCAATTTTTGTGTTTGATAAGTGTTTGGAATTTGAAGGGAATTTAAAGTGTTTGCTACGATAAAAGTGGGTAAGTGTAAATACTTCTCCTTCCCATTTTCAGTGTAATTTTCAAGGAATTGCGCGATTAGTTGGAGGTCGCCATCTAAATAATACAATGAGGAAAATAATTTTGAGTTTTTAATTAACTCTTTGTTCATTTCCATAACTACCGGATCTTCAAACGAATAAAACGTCAAACGAGTGATTTTTGGAAAGAGTTGGGCACAGAATTTTTCATTGAAACGACCATCTTTATAGCAATAATAAAGATTGACATTACGAAAGAACTTTACGTTTTCAATGAAACGCTCAACTTCAAAGTCAAGAAAAGCTGAGTCGAAAGTGTCTGGACTGAAATGTTTGAAAAACCACCGAATTGTGGGGCTGTTGATCACTTTTGGGTTCACTTTGAGTGCTTTGAGGGTCTCATGACATTTGTGGTTTACAGACATAAAAGTTAACAGATCTTCCTTCGTCAAAAATTTCATGACAACTTTAAGCAAGTACACTAACTCAAGTTTTACACCCATCGCTTTGATTTTTAAGTTCACTTAAATTATAACACAAAAAGACTTTTTCATTCAAAAGAAATAACATTTCAAAATACGGCTGTCAAGGAAGTATATACATTTGGTAAATAAAGTGAGTTGGGATAAGAGTTGGTTTGGCATTTAAAGTTTCTTTTGTTTCATTAAGTCGTAATAGTGTTAAATTTTTGTTTTTCATATCTTGGCGTTTTTTTTTGTTATTCGTTTCCCTTTTAAAAATATTTCAATACATTATTTGGACTTTTTAAAAATTATTTTGTTGCTGGAAAAATCGTTTCTTTTTGGTCATAATTCATATTTACCAGAATTTTCAAAAATATGTACATAAAATGCACTTATGCAAAATTGAACTAAATTCAACTGGGCAAACTAACCGATTATAAGAATAATCGCCGAGTTTGCCAAATCAAATCTATTCTTGGTTGAATACACATTAAAAATACGAGTTATTTGGGAATTTGGTGAAATGGAGTTCTCTTTGTGTTATTATTTC